CAGTTTATGGGTCCTGGTAGGACTGGCTAGTTGGGGCCTGGACTGCCGGCATCCCATTTACCCCAGCGTCTTTACCAGGGTCACCTACTTCACTGATTGGATCAGCCAAGTCAAGGGACTTACTCCACTTCCAGAATCTGGATCTGTGTCTCCTCACACAGAACTACAACCTAGGCCTCTGAGAGCTGCTGGCTCCCCACAAACTTGCAGCATCTTCATAGTTGCACAAATCTGGTTCCTATTGGTATTTATCCCTGAGGCGCAAGACCAGGCCCCAGGGTGAGCACCAGGCCTTTGGGCATTCTTTGCTCAGGCTTCCCTAAGCTATGCCTTCATTCTTTAGTTTACCATCTGAATCTTTTCCTTAGCATATCTGCCCATTCACTGCCACTACTAACTAAAACAAGCCTAGAAAAGCCAAGCAATAAAGCCTCATCCTCCCTCAACTCTGATTGCATACCTTTGTAGGGATCCCATATCCCTTGGTGGTCAGACTTACCCTGGAGTTAGCCATCAGACCTTGAAAGGGAGGAAATGAAACATCACAAGGAAATTCTCCTTGAGGAAAAGGCAAGGAAATGGGGGTGTGCCTAATTGGGTAGGAAAATGGGGGCACGCCCAGTACAGGGATACTGGAGAGTAAGGATGCATCCCTGAAAGAGAGTGACATTGCTATGGCCTTGACGCTGCTGAGGAATGTCAAATCCTTCAGGGGAAGTAGAATTTTATACCTGGCCTTCAAGTACAAGGGAGTAAGGGCCTTTCTGGAGGTGGGGCAGCAGCCCTCCTGGGATTTCAAGGAGGAAGAACAAATGCACAGAGAACCTGAAAGATTGAAGTGAATTTGTGGGTTTGGGGGGCTAGGATCAGGTCAAAGGGATAGAAATGTGATTTGTGGCTAGAAGTCTCAATGGATGTGGAGGACTAGAGCATTAGTCGAAAGCAGATAAAAACTGTTCTAGTAGCTGGATGAAAACCAAACATTAAGTCAACCATGCTCAAGTTTCTACTCTAGGTTAATACTGAGCATCATCCTCACCTACTCCCAGGGGCCCCATTCTTCCTATGAACCTGGTCCCTAATGTTTGAAGCCCAGACCACACCTGCCTCTGTCCACACTTGATATAACCTTGTCAGTTTGGTTGACCCAGGACTTAGTAATCAAGGAAAAATTAAAACAACAAAAATGGTCTTTTGGGCCCATTCTTTGGGCAATTGTACCAGGCACAGAATACTTATATGGCCAGCAGGAGTTAAGAGGCCTCACAATGCTGCTCACTCCAGTCTTTAGAATACTCCATAAAGAGGAGAGCTCCTGCTTACCCCAGGTCTATAGGAACCAGACAGCACTTACGAGGTTCCAATCATGGTGTTGTCTGATGGATTTGTGTTCCCTAGCAGCAGTGTCCCTGTTTTCAGTCTTTTGCTGCCTGTGCAATAGGGTGTCCATCACAAAAGGATCTTGTGGAAACTCAAGAAAGTATACTGCATACAGTCTCAGCCACAGGAGATGGTCTATAGAGTACTTGTCTATCACAAAAAGCCCGTTTGATCCCTAGTGCTGCATAAACAAGGTATGATGACAAACACCTGTTATCCCAGGAGTTAAAAGGTAGAATCAGGAGGATCAGATGTTCAAGACCATTCTCAGCTGTATAGTAAGTTCCAAATGAGCCTGAGATGCATAAAAGCATACCTTAACACACCTCCCCGCAGCACACACACATGAGAGTATCTTCTTAGTTTATTCTTGCTGGAGACTTTTTTTTTTGGAAGAACCTACATCTGACCACAGCTCCACTTCTGAGGTACTGCTACAACTGGTTGTACTTCTATATTCATATTAGACCTTGCTGCTTCAAGGTCTATGGAATTAAGAACTCAAACACTTCACTTAATAACAAGCTTGGTTATGGGGTCTTGCATCAAAGTTCATTAGGACTCTGAGATGTCAGTTAACAAGTTCTCCTTTTCATTGAGGGCTCTAAAGTCTGGGAAAGAGTTAGCCTGACAGTGGTGTGGTAAGGGAAGCTCAGGTGACTCAGTGTGGATTATGAGTTTCTTCACTGGCCCTACCGTTAACATGATGCCCCCCAGACTAGCCAGACTCAAGAAACCTGGGTGTCACTGGGCCTGGCAAGGGCTTTTAAAACCTCAAAAACAAACCCCAATGACACACTTTTTTCAACAAAGCCGCATGTCCTAATCATTCTAATCCTTTCAGAGTTCCACTTCCTGATGACTAAGCGTTCTAAAATATGAGCCTATGGGAGCCATTCTTACTCAAACCACCACAATGTCCTTACAGTCTCAACTGCTGATCTCAACCTATAAGTAGCCCACTGAAGAACACAACCAAAACTCAGCTCTAGCTCAGCCTAATTTATCTGTTACTTGATACCATCTGAAGTACTCACTATTCCTATCCTTGTGAGTAACTACACAGGGAAGGGTATCGGTAGTAAGTAGTGGAACAGGAATCAAATCCCAGAGACTTTTTGAGAGGGCTTGAACACATGTAGGCTTGTCATAGATTGTACCTATATGACTCATGCCTAAGCCTCAGATTTCTAGTAGAGCCTTAGTCTGACCTGTACTAAGAACGAGCACCAGACATCCACTTAGGGAGATAGTATGGTATAAGATCAGGAAGCCTAAGGTTGGGCTTGCCAGACACAAGGTTTTCACCAGACAGGAGGACAGGAAAGATCTACAATTTGCCCTGAACTCCATGATGATGCTATAGTTACTGTTCATACTACCAAAGAAAAGCTCGGTCTTGCTTTGGACTGCAGAGAGAGGCTTTGCATTCCAGTCTGGAACAGATGGTGCTGAGACTGTAACCAAATGCAACTGAGTTTCCAACTTGGTAAAGTCAAAGTCGAATAGGTACAGCTGTGATATCAGAGTAGAACAGGGTTTTCCGCAGCAAGTGAGCACAGCACAAGCATAATCTCAAAATAATGTTTCCACTAAACAAAGGAAGCATGGGGATCTTTTATTTTCATTTTTCGAGACAGGCTTTCTCCGTAGCTTTGGAGCCTGTCCTAGAACTAGCTCTTGTAGACCAGTTTGGCCTCAGACTCACAGAGATCCACCTGCCTCTGCCTCCTCATGCTGGGAATAAAGGCGTGTGCCACCACTGCCTGGTTAGCATGGGATTTTGTTGTGGAGGGCTATATGTACATGTGGACAGGCCAATTCTTAAGCATGATGAGCTTCAGTCATATATATGACTATTGTAGACACATTTTGGGGACCATATTTATCTCAAAGTCTCAGAACACATACATGATCAAAGTGGTAAACAGAAATTCCTCTGGGTATGTTCAGTTTGTACCATAACATTTTAGCCAAAAATAAGATATTTTGAAGCTACATTAATATGAGTTGACTCCCAAGAATGCCTACCTGGCATAGTCACTTACAAATTCATCCCTGAGACATTTCACTGACTTTATGGGATCAGGATAAAGGACATATATTTCCTGAAGGACTGGAGTGCTTTACCTTTCTAGTTAGGGATTGAAACTCTTGAAGTTGAGGGCAAGATAGGCCTTAGGATCATGTGGGGGCAGTCTAACACTGTAACTTGAGGAGATATATACATAGGTAATTGTATCATGAATAAAATAAGTTGATATTTGCACTTTATGTAGCCTAAAAGATAGGTAATGTTCCTTTGAAACACAGTCAAAACAATTAAACAAACAGACCAGCTAGAAAAATAAGGAAAAGATAGACACTTTTTTCAGCTTTTGGTTATAACAAAAGAACTTTCAAAATAAGATTTAAGCTATATAAACAAGCTAAGTAGGACAGTAAGTTAAAAAGATTCATTACTGTTTCAGCTTTATTATTGGACTTTTTGTTGGCTCATAGGACAGGTGTTTTAAAAGCTGTTATATAAAGGGCCTGCCCCTTTAAGATGCTAATCATGCTAAAAAGATCATATCCCAAGTCCCAAGCCTGGAAAAATAAGGCCACTTTCCCCTTTAACTGTCTCCTTCTGGGCCAGAGTTAAGAAGCCATGTTGTGTAAGGCTTCACAACCTCTTCCCCTCAAAACTGCAAGAGATGTATGGGAGGAACTAGGGAGAGGGGTGGGGGTGAAAATGATCAAAGTACACGAGATGAAATTGTAAACAATAAAAATGACAAAATCATCCTAAAAATCTCACAAGAATACTTGTTCTTTATAGGTGACACAACCTAGTTAGGGAGACCTCTGCTCTCAAGGATATGAAAGTCAATGAGGGAGAAGGTGTGGCTGCCATATGTTGGCAACAAGGCTAAGATAAGAGATGGGAATCAGAGCTACTCCCCAAATCACCAGAGACTGAAAGTTCTGTTAGGGACATACCCGACTCGTTGTTCAAAAAGAACCTCAGAGAATCAAGTCACATTTCAGTAGCCCGAAGAGGAAATAAGTGAGAGCAAAACTGACTTGTCCTTTCTCCTGAGCACAAGTCCTATTGCCTGGAAGACAAGCCCCATGGGCAAGCACAGACACACCTTTTCACAACATTTGTTGGGGCAATCAGTATTGTAAATAAAGGATGGAATACTGAGGAGTAGAGAAATTATTTTTCTGATAGGAATTCAGGAAAAGTGTTTTCTGCTTGTAAAATTGAGATGAGCTTCCTGACCCAGAGCTTACAACCAAAGGGAGCAACTGAAGGTACCTGACCCAAATGATACCTATAGATGAGATATCAGTGAGGCTCTGGCTACTGTGAGGCATGGGTGGGTACTGGGTACTGCTTCTGACACAGTAGCTTCTTCTGTAAAGCCACATAGCCACACATTTCTGTAATTTATGGATCTGTCTGCTACTGTATCCCCCCCCCTTTTTTTGTCAGTGAAAGCATCACCTGCACCAAGCTCTCCTGTTTTGCAGGGCAAAATGTGCCTTCTTGGCAGATAGAGGGAAGTCCTTGTTCTGGCACTTGTCTAAGACATATGAATGAATGCATCCATGGTTCCTGTTGCTGTTTCACACTAAGCCCTGTTGTGGACCAGTGAACCTGCTGCACCTGAGAAGCATTCCAGGTGCTTCCCCAATGGTGCAGGGGTAGCCTCAGTGGATATTCTGGGCACATCTGGGCTGTGTTTACTGCCCTCTGACTCTTTCATGCTGGTGTTGTGTAAGACCATGGATGCCTGGTGCAGAACAGGCTTTGTCATTGTGTGTGTGCTCTTGGCATGTCTGTCCTTGTTATCAGAACGTGACTGTCTCTGAGCCTCGTGTTCTTCATTTTCCACACATGAGGTAAAAGGGAGAGGACAGTGCCCTGCTCTGGACGCTGTGCCAGCTCTCTGACCCTTATTGGTTTCATTGAGATGACTCACCAAAGGCTTTTGCAGCGCAGTTTCAAATTTTTCCTGACATTGGCTCACCCGTGAGGTCCCTGAAGGTTTACCTGACAGACTGCCTGGGTGGCGTTGTAGGACTGTCTAACAGTCAGACTGCAGGCCATTATCTGGAGTGCCCTTGCTATTGCTCCATAGTTGGTGTTTTTGAACAGTCTCTAGGCTATGTCCCTTTGCCTTTAACAGTTTCTCCCCGATTGTCTTGCTGAGAAGCTTTCAGGTTTGTTCAATACAATGTTGTGTGGGTCTTTTACTGCCCTGTTGCCTAAAGAAAGAGATCCATGAAAGCCCATAGTTGCTTGTAGATGAAGATGCCTCTGAAAGTTCTGCTCAACGATTCATCCATGACAGAGAGTTACGAATCCTCTGGGGTAGGCCCCAGCGTTGTAGAATGAGCCTCTTTCGAAGGTGGTGCTCAAGTTTCTTCCGGAGCTCACTGGTGAGGGGGAAATTTCCAAGAGAGATGGGCCTGGGAGCACGGGTCTTAGAAGGCTGCAGGATGGGAGGTGGGGGACAAAATTCTTCCTGGGATTTTTTGACCACAGTGGGTAAGCCCCACACTCTTTCCTGCACCTTTTTCAAGATGTTGTATTCTAGGCAGTGGATTGAAGATGCCTCAAGAGGTTGTGCTTTATCCTGGGGTCTGTGAAAATACACTCCACAGATTCTAAGCTGGGATAGCAGAGAAGGTGGCAGCACTGGAATTGGGTGTTGAAGCTGGGTCTGGGTCTTGGCAAGAGGGACAGGTTGGGACTGAGATGTGGACAGAATTTGGGGCAAGTTCTGTGGTTGACTCTCAGGAAAGGACAATAGTGTGTGGTTAGTAAGCACTGTAGAATCTGAGAATCTGTTGAAGCATCCAGAGGTCAAGGAACTGTCAGCCCACACAGGAGCAACAGAGTTCATGGACTCACTGTGTAGAGAAGGGATGTTCCAGAAAAACTGTGTATGTTTAGGCTCTAACTGATCTTCAGAGGTCTTGAGATGGGGGTGGGGGAGACTGCTGGTGCATTTGAAGTCTCCCTGATTTACCTTTGCAGCTCCCCAAAGCATGGGAAACTGGAAAGTTCTGCTGATCAGATTCTTGGATCTTCTCCCAAGTTTTAAATGAATCAGGCATCTTTTGATCTTGTCTCTCAAGCAGTACCATGGAATCAAGGTTGGAAAAGGAAAGATTTCCAGGTAATTTAAGGCTGGTTGTGTTGTTTGCCCATAAGTAAGATTCAGAAGAATGGAGGTCAAGAAACTCCTGGTTAACCAAATGTTCTGGCTCCAACTGGAAAGAGCTGCCAGTATCAGTCTGCTGCTGAATAAATTCTGACATTGCATGCCTTGAACTGCAAATGCCCTTGTTTGTTGGAATAGTAAACAGCTCCCTAGGGCTGCCCACCAGAGATAGAACAGTTGTTGGTTGGAGAAGCAGTTCTGTTTCCTGGGTGGCATGTTGTTGTGGAGGAGGGAAAGTGGCACATGGATGGAGAGAATCATGGTCTAGACAGAATTTAGCACTCACAGGAGGAATAGATTCTGATGGTACAGAGTCACCCAGTGATGAGGCAGAAAGTGTGTCTTTTAAGTGGGCACTCTGTTAAGGTGAAATGATGGAGGAAGAATGTAGAGATAGTTCATGTGGAGGGTCTGAAATTGGATTTCCTGAAGGATTTTCTGAGAGGGGAAGGGACAGAGTCAACGAGGTCTTGGACTCAGACACTGAGGTAGAATCCATACTGGAGGCAGAGGCAGCACCATCTTCAAGGGTGATCTGAAAAAGCAGGTGACTAATCTTAACAGTTGTTCCATTACACACATCACAGGAAGAATCTGGATATAGTAGGTGTCAGAAGTGGGCGTGATCATGCAGCTCACCGAGGGGGCTGCAGGAGATAGAAATTTCAATTCTGTTGTAAAGACCAATATTGAAACAAGGCCTACTGGCCTAGCTGTGGTGGAGATACCCAAAGCCTGTATATCTATTCATTTTTATGCCACCCACACCTTCCAGAGCTACTATAGCCTCTTTCCACAATCTTTTGTATATTTTCCCATTGACTATTCCTCCCATGACAAGAACAAGCTGTGAAAATTCCCCATGATGTCCAGGAAAGGGGGAAGAATCACCTTTGCACAACAGACAGCAGCTTCCTCCATTCCTGTGTTTGTCTCTGGGTAGTTCTACAACCTGGGTAAGTAGAGGTATTAGTTGAAGGAAAGTAATGTAGAAACATGATGGTCACACATGAGTCCCTTTAAGGAAAATACTTAAGCTAGTAAAGTCTAAAAGTACCAAGATCAAGTACACAAGATCAGATTGTCATTAAGAAGGTTCACATGTATGTGGTTTCATGTAAAAAGTACCTTCATGTACTTTGTCCCATGTGATGATGCTCAGAACCACCATGTAGAGCACACAAGTCTTAGTTTCCTCAGAGGTATCTAAGCACCCAGGTGTCAAGCATACCAATAATATCAGGAGGCAAGAGCTTGTGTCCCCCAAAAGCCAACCAAACAACCCCTCCAAAAAAACATGCATTGTCCTCCCTGGACATGATCAGTGCTCATTGCATTTGTAGCACCCATTGTCCAGATGGCACCTGGAGCTTCTTGCCCACAGTAGAGCAGAGAATCAACTCCAGCGTATCTCCCATGTTGTCTTTCTGTGAGTCTCTCCTTTGAAAACTATTTCCTGAGAGACTGTCTGGGAACTTTCCATCTTCAGATCATAGACCTAGTACCTTATAGAAATGACAGGATGGGAAACTGGGAAGAAGATGCCCAACAGATAGGAACCTACCTTTAAATGATCTCCTGCTTCCTTTCTTAGCTGTGCTCTGCTGCTATGGACATAGAAAAATGAACAAGGCATTGTAATTTTTTTCCTGCTGCTTCTTTTCTGAAGAAACACAGATTTCATAAACCAAGAATATTACGATACGTATTCAATGAATGAAATTTAGTTCTCCCCTGAGTTAACTTTCAGAGGTGACCATTTTGTCTTCCCTTATTTGGGAAATTAAAGAAAAATTTTGTCTGTAAGAGCCACATTTGTGATTATCAGTCAAAAATTTGAGGACAGCAGCAACATCGGTGCTCTCTTTGAGACTCCTTTGTCCTGTGGGACAAAGCTCAGGTTTCAGGTTCTGCTCAAGGGCTCCACTCAGCCAGCACTGCTTCCCTGACCAGCCCAACTTGGAGGGTAGCTGGGTGAATGTACATGCAGGATGAGAATGGAGCCTGGGACTGAGCATTGAGAGAAGCTATTCTCCTTCAGAGTATCCACCTTCTAGAACTAATCCTTTGAGACAGGGAATCAGTATTTTATATCTTTTTGGTCTAGAACTCTTATCCGTACCCAGAGTAGTAGACTGAAGATCTTGATGAAAACTTTAGTCCTGTTTTCCTCTTCTGGCAAGACTAATGCCCTAGGAAATCAGTGTTCTTTACTCCCTACAGTATCCCATCTCAGGCAGGGCTCTGGCAGATAGCCAAACTCATATAGTAACTCATTTGGCATTGTAGCAATGCTTATGGGGTTCACCATACATCCTCACCTTTTTTGATGTCCTGATTTTTCCAAGGCGGTGGTAAGAATGGTTTCAATATCAAATACCATAGGTATAGAAGAATAAACCCAACTCCACTCAGAAAGATATCTGATATATATATTTGGTTTTTCGAGACAAGGTTTCTCTGTGGTTTTGGAGACCAGGCTGGTCTCGAACTCACAGAGATCTGCCTGCCTCTGCCTCCCGAGTGCTGGGATTAAAGGCGTGCGCCACCACCGCCCGGCTCCAAAGTCTAGCCATATTTTAATATATCTATTTACAAAAAAGAAGACGTTCTCCATAGACTAAATCACATGGCTGCCTAAGGCATCTGAGTTCTGAGGTTGTATGAGACTCACCTTAGGCCCAGGTATGCATCACAGAGCAGGGGAGAGTCATAGAGGGTTTGTGAGGACAGAGAGAAAGGTGAGCCCTCAGTTCCTCCTTCTCCTTTCTCCAAGCCACACCAGTGACCTCTGTTTGAGACTGCTGCTCCATTTTCCATTTCCCCCTTACCTCACTTCATGTTCCTCAGGGAACTTTCCTTTTTATTCCCTCTGTGATCTGGTTGCCAACTCAAACCTCTTTAGTTTTGGAGTACTCTTGACTTGGACTCAATCAATTCTCCTGCCTAGAGAGTCTGACATGATACCTGGAGTTGCATTGGGACAGATATCAGCAGCACAAATGACCTCTCGCTTATACAGTGGTACTCAACCTGTTGGTAGAGACACCTTTGGGGAGGTTCAAATGGCCATTTCATGGGGGCTTGCAATCAGGTATTTCTGGGGCAGACTGTGGGGCCACTGGCAGTGGCACCAGGATTTATCCCTACTGCTTGTACTGGTTTATAGAACCCATTCTCTTTGGAGGGATACCTTGCTCAGCCTAAGTATAGTGAGGAGGGACTTGGTCTTGCCTCAAAACAATGTGCTAGATTTTGTTGATTTCCCATGGGAAGCCTTACCCTCTCTGAGGAGTGGATGTGGGGTGGGGTGGAAGAAAGATGGAGGGAACAGGAGGAGGGGAGGGACTGAGATACTCTAGACCCTAGCAAAAGTTAGTTGCCCCAACATGAAAAACATGTAACATGAAAAACAATAGTTTGCTTTCTTTTTTTAAAAAAAAAAATAAATTTAAACCAGGCAGTGGTAGTACACACCTTTGATCCCAGCACTTGGGAGGCAGAGGCAGGTGGATCTCTGTGAGTTCAAGGCCAGCCTGATCTATAGAAGCTAGTTCTAGGATAGGCACCAAAGCTACAGAGAAACCTTGTCTAAAAAAGACCAAAAAAGTAAATTTTAAAAAAGCTAAAAAAAAAAAAAGGTATTTTGTAAATTGATGCAATTTAGGATATATTTATTATATTGCACTATACACTTCTACTTCTGATCGAGAAAATTATATATATTGTTTACATTTGGGGGTCATTGTCTTCATTTGCTGCACATCTATTTAAAGGTTGTTTAATTTTATAATGTGAAACTTTAGTCTTTAAGCTAATCAGGTATTAAGAATTAGACATCAATAGTCACCCATGTTTGCCATACTTATAGTTAGGCTAGCCAGGTTCTATAGATGCACAGATATTGTACTCCACATAGAAACATAATCTTCAAGCACTTCAAAGAACTATAGGATATGACATTTAAATAACTCAGGATTCTGTTGATGTGAGACACAATTGCTTTTGGCAGCATTGATCTATTCTTGAGAGAATGTTGGGCACTGAAGACACTCCACTTAGAGCTTGTTTTCTTCTTTGCAAAACTGACCTTTGGACAAAGAACTTCCCTTGCCTCAACTACTAACAGTATGCACACTGTCTAAACTGGACAAGCAGGATACAAGCAAAAACTCTGCCAAACCTTGCCCAAACAGGGTAGGACAATCTTTCAAATTTTCTAGCATCACTTTACAATATACATGGACTGACAGTGGGATGTGAGGGTGACTGGAGGGTCTGATACCCACGGCTGAAAAGTTGGAACCTAGATATTTATATGTGGTAACAACAAAGGGGTGGCCAGCATGACCTGAAAACTAGCAATGTATGTAGGGTAGCAATGAGGGGAAGAAATGTCCAACAGGTCCTGATTTCTAGCACCTTATTTATGGACAAAGGAAAGATCCACATACTTACTTAACATTGTTTTTACAGTTGTGGCTGGTATTGCCTAGGAGTATAAGCTGAGAACTAGTCTGGTGTCTAAGCCCTAAACTCTAGATGTGTATATGGATGTCAGTTAGGTATCTAGTAAAGTCTAAATTTAATAATGTATATACAGTGAAAATGAGTGATGCTCAGCAGGGTGTGATACAGAGTATTGCATATAGGACAGAAGCATAGGGCAGGTTGGATTGAGGGTTCTGACATGACACGAATCATTGTATTTATGAATGCTGAAATGAGCAAGGGGATATGCCCAGCAAGGCCTGATACCTACCATAATATGTGAAGTGGTGGGCAGGAATCCAGTGGGATCTGATTCGTAACAGTATTCACAACAGGGCTGGAAGGGGGTGCCCAGCAGGACCTGATACCTACCGGTGTATGTGGGGTGGGAGCAACAAGGAGTAAAGCTTATAAGTTTATATGTGCTGGACATGACTTTATCTGTTGCTGACCCAAATTGCTTTGCTGGTTTTTATGCCATGCTTATGACCTGTCTTCTGATGTCCCACATAAACTTTAATGTGTCAGGCCCCATTGAGCACCCACCAAATTTGCTGTAAAACTTACAACACTAGTTATCAGACTTTACTGAAAAACCTCATGTCTCTGCTTCCAATAGAAATACACTACTAACTATCATGCCTCGATGCACACTCTGACCCCAGGCAAAACCCCACATACACTGCCAGGTTCAAATCCTGCAGAATATCCCCTGACCCACCACATCAATATACCATGAGGTATAAGCCCTTACCAAGCCTGGGTCCACTGCAAATCTCCATATACACTGCTAGAAATTGGGCCCCAGTGTATAATTAATCCCCCTGATATCTCTCATACACTGCTATGTTATAGGTCCCTCTGGACAATCTCACTTCCCTACACAGAAAGTGCTATATATAAGGCCCTGAAAAACAGTGCCTTCCCTCACCTAAGTCTTCCTAGAACCCTTTCCTTCACCCATATAAGTATGAATCACGCCCTGTTGGGTATGCTCTCCAACCCTATTACTGCCCCAAATGCACTACAAGTTTTCAGGCAATACAATGTACTCCTTGTCATCACATATAAACTTCTAAGTATCAGACCTAACTGCACTATATCTCTACCTGATGCCACACAGACAGTGTAAGGTACCAGGCCAATCTTCCATGTTACATACATAGCTATATATCTGGCCTTGTTAATCAACCCCAAACCCCTGACACCAAAACCCTACATACATAACTAGTTATTAGGACACACACTCCTGAAGCCCCCATACACTATTATTTATCACATACTATTGGACTCCGAACCTCACCCCACACACTCTGCATAGATCGGACTTGCTGGATACCCTCATTCTCTGCTAATATTCCACTAAACTGCTGGAGACCAGGTTCTATTGCACAGCCTTCATACTCCAGGTGCACTGTTAGGTATCAGAACCTTTACACACTGCCTTCCCTGCCTGATATACATAGATTACTAGGTATCCCTTCCACCCTTCACTGCCAACAGATACACACTGCTCAGTAATAGGTCCTTCTGGACACTCTTACCCGATGGCATTCCCCATCCCATAACTATAACTAAGTATGAGGTACTACTGAACAACTTGTCCTCTATCTCAACCAGAACCAACTTCAAGGTATCAGGACCTTCAGAACAAACTTGCCATTGTTCCATATATATATTACTTGGTGTCAGACCTTCCCAGACATCAACTATCCACTGTTGCTGACTAATTTATATTAATAGTTTTGGCCCATGTTGTACATACTTTATATAAGCTTTAGGTGTCAGATTTACTATAAATCTACAGTTTACTATAAATTTACTATAAATCTATTATAATATATATAAATTTACTATAAATCTATCATAATATATATAAATTTACTATAAATCTATAAATTTACTATAAATCTGACAGTGCCCTATAAATAATGTTAGTTTTCAGACCCTACATGATATCCCCAGCACCTGCTGTCTTTATTGGGCACCCTCGTCATCTTCTATATCACATATACTGTTAAGTGTCAGGCCCTTTTGAATATCACCCAACTACTGCTGCACCAAGTGGAGTCACCCAGCAGTGGCTAGGGATCAAGTGTATATGGGGTTTTGATGATGGTGCAAAGGTTTGTCTAGAAAGTCCTGAAACCTAGCTGTATATGTGGGATGGCAGCTTTAGGGGAGTAGGGGAGTCCAGTATGATCTGGTATTTATCATTTTGCATGGGAAGAAGGGAAGTGTCCAGCTGGAACTAATATATAGCAGTATAAGTGGGGGATTAGACTAAGGTTTAATAACAAACTTTATGTGGGTTGGCTGTGAGAGTTGGAGGGTATCTTATAGGGTTTTATATCTAGTGTTGTATGTGAGGTATTGACTCAGGGACTTGGCTGGAATGTCTAATATGTAGAAATTTATTTAGGGAAGCAGCAGGTGTGTGTCTGACATAGTTTGAAAACTAGCAGTATATGTGGTGTGACAATGAAGGTATTGTCGGGGTCCAGCCCCAACAAGATTGTATGTTCCAGAGTAGGGTCATGTGGAATAGAAATGTTGGACAGAATAGACAGAGACACAAAAGTAATACAAAGACATAGAATAGTACCAAGAGGGCAACTCAGGGAATACTAAATAACGAATCAGCCTGCATTTATTTTCCATATGCTTATATACCCCCAATCCAATGGGGGTAAAGAAAGCAAAAGACTGCTTTCACATGACACAAAGGACAACCAGAACAGTTACTTGCTTCAATACTTGAATCATCGAGTCACTATTTCCTGAGTTAAGTATTCTGATGTTTTGGGCAGGATATGCAGCGAATACACCTTAGACCAAGTATCCTGTAGGCAGCCACTCCCTAAGTCAAACCTCCTCTTTTAAAATGAAGGAGCAGGAATACACTTGAATTCTCTGGCCTTTGGTCAAAGTGGAGCAGATCTACCTTAATGTTGAAAACACCAAGTAACTATACTCTGTTGTTCTTTTTTTAAAAAATGCTGCAAGATCCCCAGTGGCAGTAGGCAGCAGAAATGCTGTAGGTCTGGCCACACCTGTTGTCAACAACCTGTTGGGTGCTCTGTACCCTAGCAAAGAACCCAACCACACACACTGCTAGGTTCAGACCTCTGTAGACAAATCCCCATCTGACATATCATATACACTGCAAGATATGAGATCCAGATGGGCATCCCTACCACCAGCAATGCTTCACACATACTGCTAGGAAGTAGTGATCTGCTACCCAACTTATGCTGCCAGTTTTCAAACCCTGTTGAACACCTTCCTGTTTTATCCAGATACAAAATTCTAGGTGTCAGCCTTCATTGGTAATACCTCCACCTGCTGCAATTGCCCATAAAGCCCTATATGTCAAAGCCAGCTGGACCCATGCTCTTATCCCATATATAGTACTGTTGGCTGTTTCAAACATACTCCCATTGTTGCCCAACATACACTAATATTTATCAGGCCATGTTGGATATTACTGATACCATCCTACATATTCTACATATTAAGAACTAATAGACCCTTCACACCTCTAGTCCCTGAGATTTGATGGCTAGCCACTTACACCATTGACGTCCCAGACTCTAGACTAGATATTTATCCTTCTATGTAGCTTTACATGTACTGCTATCTAGCAGGTTTAACAGGAGCTCTCCTAAACACCCCATAAAAAATTCTAGGTATCAAGCCATTTTGAACACATTATTTGTCCTTTCCACTTGTCATCCCAAATACACTACTATCATTTAGGCCGTGCTGACTACTGTAGGATTTGGGTGGGAGTGACTAGACCCATGGTACTCTCTCCTCTAGAGACTATAGGGATGCTTTAATCCAGGGGTCAAAAGCTGTCCTTAGAGATGAGCAGTAGCTTTGCACCTGAGACACAGGTTTTCTTTCTCAATGTCAACATCTCAGGCTAAAGTGTTCATGGCTGCACAGTCTTTACTCATATTCCCAGCCAACCCTCCCTACACAAAAGTGTGCCTTCCTCTTCTGACTCACTGAACCAGCTCTCTCTAGGGATGAGATTAAGGAAGGAGGACGAGGGATATAGGAGGCTAAACCAACAGTAGCCAGGGGAGACTGAAGGACAAGAGGATGTAGCTCTCTCTGGAGATACTGTTGGGCCCTGGGATTTACTCATCTTGAAAAGGATGTCAGGAGGCTGCACAACACAAAAATCTCACCGTCTGCTAATTATATATTATCTTGCTTCTTATGCTTACTCCATGGAGGTCATCTACCAACCTGGTCACACTGGGAGCCTAGGTTCCACAGTCATCATCGACAACTGTAGCATCTCACAGTGAGTGTCTGGTGTGGGACCAAGGCCTCGCCTAAGATTGTGCTTCTAGCTTAGCACAGCTGTGAGCAAAGCTGCTGTCAGACTGTCTTCATGGAAGAAACTGAAGCTCTAAAGGGAAAAAGGCTTTTCTAAAGATAATAAAGAGGACTCACAACATACACCATGTGAATTCAAATATAATCACTGTAGAGATGGACACCAAGTGAGCACCAGCTTGGAGCATGGGCTATTTGGGGACTACATTCTCAATCTGGTTAACCTGTCCTGGGAAAAGTGGGTAGATTGTGATAGTCACTCTGGCAGAAGAACTCTTTCCTCATGTGAGAAGCCCTCTTTTCTTTCCTCAAGCCCTGGCCCAGAGATATGAAGGGAAATATAATAGAGCAAGATAGGGCAATTGTCCTATCAAACATTTGAGGTTACCCCCTATATGGGACTAATGACCCCCATAGCCTAATATATTTCAGTACTTGGTTCCCCAGTTGGTGGAACTGTCTGACAAAAATTAGGAAATATGGCTTTGTTGGAGGAGTTGTGTCACTGGGAGTAGGCTTTGAGTTTTTAAAAGTCCACTCCATCCCAGATAGCCCTTTCTTCCTTGCATTTGTCTATCAAGATATAAACTTTCAGCTACTGCTCCAAAGCCCTGCCTGCCTGTTCGCTTCCAAGCTCCCTGTCATGATCATTATGGACTCTAGCCCTCTGAAATTATAACCTCTTCTAGAAAATCAATTGATAATGCTGTTTTATCAAAGCAATAGAAAATAACTAAGACAGGGCTGGGAGGGATTCTAACTCCCAGGCAGCTTTGGGCATCCTTTTACGCATGTTCCCAATATGCGGAAGATAAAATGGAAGACCAGCCCTGAGTTAAATATCCTGATGACTTGGATTTCTGGTGGAGAAAACTATCTGTTTGTATACCTCCTCTCTGTGCTAGACAGAGCCTCTTTGCTGGGCATGCAGGCACATTGTCTCCTGGACTTTCTGCCTGGTTCATGCTACAGATGTCTCAATCCACACAGGCTGATTTCCCACTCCATGACTCAGTGTCCATGATGTTTCATCACTTAAAAATAGAAAGACATATGAAAGTAACTTTTGTCAACTGAACTATATGGTACTTATTAATTTACAACCCTGCTGTGTCATAGTTTCCTACCTGATTCCTCCCTTCTGAACATCTGTTTCCTTTAGTCAACACTTCGTCAATGCCTCCACAGCCACTGGTAACCATTTCTGTTGTCTATGTCCAGGTCAACTTTCTCAGGTTCCAGATAATAAGGAAACTGTTGCTTTGTCCATCTGAGGTGCAAGTTGCATATTCCATAAATATGTTTAACTATTCTAAGTCAGTTGCAAAGAACATTAGAAAATTCATTAACTAAAATATAGAGGTATATTTTGGTCCGCCACCTACCTCATTTTATGTTACTCCATTCTCCCATTCCACTGGAGCCACTTTCTTCTGGGAAGCATGGCTTCTCCTTTGGGGAAAGAGGCAGCAACACAGGCTTTGAAAACAATTCACCGTTCTCCTCTTCACCCTCTTCCAGCATCGCCTTATGTTGTGGGAAGAGGCTGTGATCACACTCTGGGGCTGGGCACTGGTGGAGTATAGTTCCTTGTGATGAGTGCCTGTGGTTGTGACACTTTGAGGTGCCTCCATGGAGCTCATTATAGACAATGTGTTCTGGGGAGATGAGCTGTTTTTTGGGTTGGTTTTACTCTGTGGTGTCATCTGGGCAATCTCATTTCTAGAAAGAATATTTTTTGAGGATGTGCTGCCTAAGGCCACCACCTTTGAGGTCGTACATCTCTTCTGAATAATGCTTCTCATGAGATGAACAGCTACATGACCACATTCAGAAGCTACTTTAGGAAAGATGGTTCTCTTCTGTTGACAACACAGGATGTCAGGCATGCTGAGCCTTCTGCTCCCCTCCTTCATTGCAATCTTGTCATCGCCATGAAACTTGTGTTTTGCCAGAAAGGTGTTAGTTGGAAGAGCAGGATCACTCCCTGTGCCATTTAGGGAGAAGCGAGCCATGGAAAGACATAAAGGTGTACTGGCAACATCAAACTGCATAGGTTTAATTTGATGATGTATATTGCTTCTCAAGAATGACTGGTGTTTTAATATTAAATAAGTTGCCATGATGTTATTAAATTTTTTTTTATGTAAAGAGTCTCTAATGTCTTTGGGACTGTAGCCCATGACCCGCATGGCTGACACAATATTGAGGTTTGGTTTTCTAGGGAGCATCTCCAAAGAAGATGATAATTTTAAAAGTACTTCACTGTCCTTGAGCCACAGATGTTTCATAATGTCATGTATCTTGGGTCTCTGCTCAGAGTCAATAGTGAATAACTTCACAATGAGGTTGACGATGTATTCTGGAAGCTTTGATGGGATGTAGTAATGTGGATCTTTCATCTCCACCTTCATGTCTTTATATGTTGTTGCTTTGAATGGGAGGTACCCTGTCACCATGATATATAGAACTACTCCCATGCTCCAGATGTCAGGTGTCTTGGGATCATATTCTTGGCCATTGAAAAGCTCTGGAGCACAGTATGGAAGGGTACCACAGAAAACCTTTAATTTCTGCCCCACAGTTACTTTGGTAGCCAGACCAAAGTCACACAGCTTGATACTTCCTTTGCTATCTAACAGTATGTTATCTGGTTTGATGTCCCTGTGTGCAATGTTATTCTCGTGGCAGTACTTAACTGCACATACAATCTGTGTGAAGATGTGTTGGGCCTCCTCTTCCTGCATGGAGCCTACCTCCACTATACGACCTGCCAGGTCACCCCCAGAGGCCAGTTCCATAACCATATAGATATGCTGAGTAGTTTCCATAACATGGAACAGCTTAATTATATTAGGATGATTCAATAATTTCATGATATCTACCTCATTTGTGATCAAGGTAGCTTTCTTTTTGTCCTTTTCCATAATCTTCAGAGCAACCTGTACGTCTGTACGGAGGTGACAGGCAAGTTTCACTTCAGCAAAGCTGCCTATACCAAGGGTATCGAGGATCATGTAATGATCTGTGGGAACCTCCTCCCCAGAGGAACTTTCCTTCAGGTCCTGGTGCATTGTTACCTCCTCGCTCCTCCTGTTACATACTGTCTATCTCAGTATAAAATCACAATACTAGATTTAAAAAAATTATAAGTAAGTCTATGAGAGAAGTTCATAATCATCAAATTCCTATGTAAATAAAAGCAAAAATTCACCTAATTATGTACTCCAAAGTCACAGAAACAAAAGAATAAACTAAATCTAAAACAGTGAATGGCAATACATAGTAACTTTCAGAGATGAAATTAATAAAATAGAAACCAAAAGAACATCACAAAGGATCAAAGAAACAAAGAGTTGGTCATTATAAAAATAAGTAAAATTGACAAACCCTTACTCAAACTAACCAAATGAGAGAAGATACAAATTATTAAAAATTAGACATGAATAAAGGTGATGTTACAGCTGCTAACACTAAAATCAAGGACCCTAAGAGGGACATACATATATCCCCCTGGGAAAGGGAAATAGACAAAATCTCCTGAGTAAATTGGAAGAAGAGAGAGTGTGGAAAGGGAAGTGGAGAGGAGAACATGAGGGAACAGGACAGTCAAGTTGGGGGAAGGACAGACAGGGAGAGCAAGGAAAGAGATATCTTGATAGAGGGAGCCATTATGGGGTTAGCAAGAAATGTGGCACTAGGGAAATTCCCAGGACTATACTAGGATGACCCCAGATGCTAAGCAATAATGGAGAGGGTGCCTGAACCTTAAATGTCATCACTGAACCTTCATCCAGTAGCTGATGGAAGCAGATGCAGAGATCCACAGCTACTGACTGGGCTGAGCTCCTGAAGTCCAGTCAAAGAGAGAGAGGAGTGATATGAGCAAAGGGGTCAAGACCATGATGGGAAAACCCACGACCCAAGCTAGTGGGATCTCACTGACTCTGGACTAATAATTGGGGATCCTACATAGGACCAAACTAGGCCCTCTGAATGTGGTTGACAGCTGCATGGCTTGGGCAGTTTGTGGGGCCAATAACAGTGGGGCCAGGATTTATTCCTAGCATATGAACTGGCTACTGGGAGCCCATTCCCTATGAAGGGTTACCTTGTTCAGCCTAGATACAGTGGGGAGAGACTTTGTTGACTCCCCATGGGAGGCCTTATTCTCTCTGAGGAATGGATGCAGAGTGGAGTGGGGGACGGTGAGGGAAGTGTGAGGAGAGGAGGGAGGGGAAACCAGGATTTATATTAAAACTAAAAAAGATTGTTTTAAAAAATAAAATTTTTAAAAGTTATGTAAAGTTAAAGCTTTAAATGCAAAAAAGAAGCTCATTAGGGAAAATGGGAAAAGGGGGAGGCTCATTAGGGAGAGGGGTCTTGTTTTGAAAAGAAAAAAGGGGAAATGCTGTGGGATAATGCTCTTGTACCCTGTAAAAATTTGTCACTCATATTGGTTTAATAAAACACTGATTGGCCAGTAACCAAGCAAGAAGTATAGATGGGGCAACCAGGCTAGGAGAATTCTGGGGAGAGGAAAGGCTCAGTCTGTAGTCACCAGCCCAATGCAGAAGAAGCAACATGAGAATGCCTCACTGACAAAAGGTGCTAAGCCATGTGGTTAACATATACACAAAATATGGATTAATTTAAGATAGAAGAGCTAGCTAGAAATATGACAGAGCTTTTAACCAAGCAGTGTTATAATTAACATCATTTTTGTGTGATTATTTGGGTCTGGGTGACTGGGAAACATAAGTGCAGTCTCTGTTTACAGAAGGGAGGTAAATGTAGAAGAAGGAGGGAGGGAGATAACAATAAAGATCACTGAAAAAGCCACAATCAATCATACTATTAACTATTTACCTTAAAACCCTATAATATATATAATTCAGTATATAAATATGCATGGTTAGTTGTAATAAACTTTTCTCATCTGTGCTGATGGCATTCCTTCCAAGAACCAAAGACCACCTAACAAAACCCCTAACAACAGACATGAAAAGCCCTCTTTTGAGTTGTTGGCTAGTACTGTCTAAAAGAATTCTAAAATACCCCAAAATATATAGCCTATTGCTGTTGTCCTTGGTTACCATCCAGGGGTGGTAGGCAAGGCCATGTTGCTGAAGATACTATGCACTTCAGAAACAGGACTCAGAGGTCTTTGAGCTCAGATTAACCTTAATTCCCCTCCCAAAGAACTAGCATTCATGGTACCAGAAGGTACCAAGAAAACTTCCAAATGTAAAGGCAACCAATAGTCCTACCTAGCTATGATACCTATGAACTGTATCAGTGACCATCATGACATGATAACCCTATGGATGCAGTAGTGACACACACACACACACACACACACACACACACACACACACACACCTTGGTCATAGTCAATGGTTTCTTAATTGGTCTTAAACCCTGGGCAACAAGAAGGATACCATGTCTGGTATGGGAAACCTAGCTAACTAATCAGTGCTAGCAAAATCATGGTTATTGGAGGAGATCTACAAACACTAAGTTACTAAACAAACACAATCCCTAACAACAAGTTACAAATGTGTCCTTTTACCAACAGATAAGTTTAGTCTTCACCCCTCATTAAAAAAAAAAAAAACCTTCTCTTTGAAACAGATGGAGACCACCATAGAAAACCAGTTCAACCAATCAATATTCAGAGTTGTAGAGCCCAGTCTCAATGGATACATCCACAAAAACTCAGGGAACATTGTGGAAGGGGCAGAGGGTGGGAGGTGGAAAGATTGTTAGAGCCAGAGGATCAGGGAGTTTGCTGTCAACTTGTGTCTTGTAGTAACAGCAGGAGCTCAGAAAGCTATACCCATAAAGTCTCATCAACATAAGAGTACAAACGTGAGCTGGACAAGAATGCCAATGAACATGCAAACTGCAAGGAGAAAAGCCCATGAGGCCTCAACCCTACGACAATAACTGAGTAAATCTGGGAGTGAAAGAGGTAGCCCACTTGTTATCCAGAGCCAAATGATCATCCATGCAAACACACATACATGTAACATTTTATATGGATTCAACAGATATTTGGGGATATATTATATGCAAATACATATGTGCATGCAATAACAACCGATAGAAAAGAAGACATTATAAATTTGAAGAAGTGTGGGATGGAATATATGGGAGACCTTGAAAGGAAAGAGAGAAATGTTGAGATTAAAATACAATTATCCCAAAAAAGATCATTATGGAGTAGTTTGAAAAAAAAAATTTAGTCAATTATAATATCTGGAAGAAATAGATCAATTCCTAGAATCATACAACCTACCCAAATTTAGATAAGAAAAACAAAATCATGTAAATAGATCAATAACTAGGGACAACATTGAAATACTAATGGAAAAAAATTGCCATAAAGAAAAGTCCAGGACCATTCAGACCAGCAGATAAATTCTACCAGAACATTAAAAGAAGAATTAACATCAATGCTTCACAGATTATTCCATAAAACAGAAAGGGAAAGAACATTCCAAATTCATTCTACAAAGTCAATATTACTGATACTAAAACCAAATGAAAACATTATAAGCAGAAAATATTATAATTTCCTTGATGAACATCACAATTCAGCAATGCATCTAAAAGGCCATTGAAGCAGAATTAATAAAATCTCAGAGACAGAAATTGGAGTTCAACATAAAGTTCCAAAAAGTAGAGCAGCCAGCCACTGGCTCTTACCTCAACCTCAGTCCAAAATGGCGATCCTGCCTCCAGGCATCTCAGAATGAGACTGTGAATGAGAACTGTCTCCTCCCATTTTATAATCCTCTCTAGGGCTGGGATTAAAGGCATGCATCACTGGGATTAAAGGCATGCACTGCACAGTTTCTATGGCAACTAGTATGGCCACTGAGGTTAAAGTGTGTGTTACCACTGCCTGGTCTGTAAGCCTGATAAGTGTGGCTGTTTTACTCTTTGTTAGTCAGGTAAGCTTTTATTAAAATGCAAATGTAATGCCACTACAGACCATGCCCCAGGATCAGGTGGATTCATCCAGGAATGTAAAATTAGTTCCTCATGCACAAACTCACAATACAGCATATAAAAAGAATTTAGGGCAACATAATCAGTCCTAAAGAAACACAGCATTTTGCCATAAAATTAGACAGAACCAGAGATGCTTCAAATGAGACAATCCAGCTCCACAAATATCAATGTTTTCTATAGTATTTGGTATCAGTGGATAAGGCAGGGGATCTGAATACAAAAGGGAAACCATCAGAAATATGAAAGAGGTCAGGGATAGCCACAGAATGCTACATAGGACCTGGGATTAGTTCAAAATTCTGGGCTTTCACAGCATTGGGGTTCTCCATTGAACCTGCTAGTATGAACAGAGGGCAATTGTATGAAACCCATTCCAAAGTGACTTGGACAACCCACAAAACAAAGCTGATTGAAGGACTCATGAAAGAGAGAAGTGCAGTGGCTGATAGCATTGGGCAGCGCTGTACCTGATTGTTAGCCAGAGACCAGGAAACATCTTCATGAATCTGGGGTGCTGCTTACTACTCTCTGCACTGGTGTCAAACTGCACTAACTGTCTCAGCAATCCTCCCCACTTCCAACTGTGAATCCAGATTTATGAACCCTCATTGGTCACATGCATTAACCAATCACACTGGCCAAGTGGGCTTGGCTCTTCTGATTGGTCAAGTTGAAATCATGTGACTTTTTTCCTGTGGATACAGAGGAACTACTGGTGGAGATCCTGAGAGAACAGTTAAGAGATTGAGCCTCCTAATGCTCTATGCTTTGTTTCCAGGGATGTGCCTGTTCAGACCTGCCTCCTCCATCACACGGCCTCTGTCTACAGAATTTATGACAGCACTTCTTCCTTTCCCAGGCCCCATTCCTTTCTAAACAGACTTAGTCTTTGAGGATCAGTTTTCATTTGCTCCCAGCAAATCACTAACTTCCACAGTAGTGGTTTTGCCCCCAAGATAGTCTGACACTTGATGTAAAGAAGACAGAGCAAAAGTCAACATACATACTGGAGGCAGCTGGTGGCATGTGGGGGTGGGGCACTACTACAGGAACA